ATAAAATAAAATAAAATAAAATAAAATAAAATAAAATAAAATAAAATAATATATAAAATGCTTAGCCCGTACCAGGTGCTATTCAAGGCAACTTGCGTATATCAACTCACTTAATCCTCATAAGAACCGTATGAGGTAGATCATGTTATTCCCATTGGACAGATGAAGAAACCAAGGTACAAAAGGATTAAGTATCTTGCCCAACATTTGTCCCAGCCTCAGCCTCCCCACAGACACCCGCCCCTGGCTGGGTAATGTGGGTGTGACCCTTGTCATGACGCATTAGGCACTTCTCTGGTCTCCTGAGCAGGGTTGGAGGCCACTCAAAAACAAAGTCCACCTGCTCTAAATTCTTTACAAACGTTTCCCAATTTTGTACCTGGCATTGTGCTGGGCATGATGAAAGACATGTCCCCTGTCCTCAGCTCATGTTAAAGCTGATTAGATCTCTACCCAAATCTCTGTGGCATACATGCCTGTGAGTGAACCACTGCTCCAAGTGCACACATAAGGTATTATGATTATCTGTGGTGACCCCACAGGAAATATACCAGCTCCAGAAGGGTCTCCTGGAGTGCCAGCCACTGGGGAAACAGGAGGAATGGACATCTGTGAGCAGTCTAACTGCCCCGAATTTCACTGGGCTGTCTAGCTAGGACAGCTAATAAGGACGCTCTGTTCTGTTTAGCTATGTTGGCCATGATGAGGACACCTCCATCCAGCCAAGTAGGATTGGAAATTTCAAAAGGTACTCTCCTAAACCAAGAAAATTGTGGGGAAACCAACACAGTAAATAGCAAAGTACAAAACCAGATGAGAGGCCACGTAGAGATTTCTGGGTTGAGGATGAAAGAAAGCTTTGTCAGAGTTTTGTTGGTTGAAAATTTTTCCGGGCACACAGGACCCCTGCTCCTCTCCTACTCACCCTGCCCTAGGATACCCCAGTCTAGGAGGCCTTTGGATGGGCTTCACCTGAAGACCCGTGAAGTCCTCATCCTTCCTAGAACTTTCTCTTTCTCTTTCTTTCTCCCCTTATTCCCCCAACCCAACAACACACACACACACACACACACACACACACACACACACACACGGCCCTTGGGTGCTCCCTGATGATGTCTGGTCCTTCCAGCAAGACAAGCCATCTTGTTCTTCAGACCACCTTCTCCCTTCAGACTGCCTACGTGAACCTTTTAGACACCTCTTAGTCCCTGCTAAGATCAATTTGGGAATCGTCCCCTGAAAGTGCCACTGTCAGTCTAATCGACCTCTCTCATTTGCCTGGTCTGAGACAGGCTCTACCAGATGCTGGCGTCCCTTGCTGCTTACTGTCCTTGGCGAGTTTCTAACCTTATTTCTGATACCAACTTCATGGTTCCAGGTGGGGGTGCCACCCTGCTTGGGCGCTGGAGTTTCCCCCACCATCTTCCACCTTTCAGACCAGACCTCAAACACAAACTTTTCTAAGGCCATGAGGTCTTGTGTCCCAATGAAAGCGTGGTGTAGTCCAGTTTCTAGGCTGCAGAATACAGCCAAATCAAGAATGCTGGGCCCTCCTCTTCAAGGGCTCACCTTCCTGAGTTTCCTCATGCTTCCTCTCACATTCAGAGAGGAACCAGCCTTTTGCAAAATAGCAACATTCCTTGAGTTAGTGGTCCTCCCTCAGGCTTGGGGTGTATCAGAATCCCCCGGAGGGCTTGTTACAGTGCAGGTTACTGGGCTCCAGGCCCAGAGCTCCTAATTCAGTAGCTCTGGAGCTGGAGTCTGCCCGTTGGCATGTGTAACAAGCTCCTTCCTGGGTGATGCTAATGCTTCAGGTCCCGGGAATATGCCTTGAGAACCACTGAGTCAGAGTAGCAATGCCACGTATGCATGGAGAAGGAGAAGGAGAAGGAGAAATGTTTCTTCCATGTTCTGAAAACCATTCCAGTGACTAGGTGTGTCCCTTTGCCAGCAACAGCAGAGGCTGGGCTTTGCGATGGAGTGCTTCTGGAAAAGGGAGTGGATAAGGTAGAGATAGGCTTCTAAGAAGATAGCAGTGCCCGAGGACAGCCAGCTACCAATACTCTGTGCCAACAGAAATGGGCAGAGAGCGCTGGCCAAGGCAAGAGGCAGGATTCCAGAGGCCAGCCACAGAAAGCTTAGAAAGCAGTCTGAAGGCCAGTAGCACAGGCTAACGTGGAGTCCAAGAGAGGTGTCGGGGACCAACTTTACAGGAGCATTTTCCACACCCGGGCTCAAAGGGAACCCAGAATGTGACAGAGGTTCATACCCAGAGATGAGTTGAGCTGGACCCAGGCCAGCTCGACCTCACCTGGCCCCATGGTGAGGGAGGAAGCCTAGAGCTTTGGCTGGGAAACTTCTTGGAAACACTTCTTGAAAACACCCGAGGATGGGTTTGTATTTACTAAGAGCAGAGGACAAAGCTTTCCTGCAAGTCCCTTCTATCTCAAGTGTTTAATTCTTCTTTCCCTGCAGTTGCTTAAGAAAGTTGTTCCTTTTAAAAGTCCTATCCTCTCAAGATCAGAGCTATGTAAATAATATGCACACAGAAGAGAGTGGGAGCAACACTTAAAAATGTTAACAGTGCTTGTTTTAGTGTGAAGCAGCCAAGAATTATTTGCTTTTTCCTCTAGTTGCCAAATTCTTGTCTTGTGATTATATTATTTTTATAACAAAAAACAACAACAAAAACACTTCACAGAAGAAAAAAATCTAAGCTGTACTGGTTGCACTGCAAAGCTGGGATTTCTGCCTCTGTTTCTACCAGACAGTAAGGAGAGACAGAGCGTGGCAGGGGTCTGGTCTTGCGGCTATAACAAAAGGACTTAGAATGAACAGCCTCTCCCCCTCCCTTGCCAAAAAAAAAAAAAAAAAAAAAAAAAAAAAAGAATGATCAGGTCAATTAGGGTGGGGTTGACAGCCAGCACCTCTGAACTGTCCCTTCTGTCCTTGACCCTTCCTAGGGTTTAGGCCCTGGGAGTTTTTCATTCTCCCAGAGTTCTGGCCAGGCAGAGATTGGGATAAATGGCCTACTCACCCATGGCATTTGTGGGAAGATGCAGGAAAACATGAGCTAGACAGTAGAGATGTCAAATGATTTGGAGCTGGGAGGCCAAACATATCATAAAAGCCCAATCTGCATAAAAGGAGGTCTCTAATGAGAGGCCATGAGGCTTTGACCTTAGGGTGCCCCCAAATATTTTAAGAGCGAGTTGGAAGGAGACAGAGAAAGAATGCTTTGCAGTGCACTGATGACACGGAGGCGGGAGAAGCAGTTCACAGACTCAAATTATTGCAACAGCCTAGACAGCTTGGCCCAAACCAGAAAAGATAACACTGAACAGAGCCGCATGCAGAGGCCTATATTTAGGCTGAGAAAGTGTATATAGTTGAATGTCATCTTTTTATCCTTTTTTTCTTTTCTTCTTTCCTTTTTTCCATGTTTACATTTTCTAAAGTTTCTACACTGAGCCTACATGACCTTTATAATAAAAGTTACTTAAAAACAGTTTTGATTGAAAACAGCTGACAGTTTTTGTGACCACAAGTTAATACACACCGACTCGGAAAAAAAGTGCCCGTGTCTCCAGAGTTAGCCAGGAGAACTACTGGACTCCTCCTTGCTCCCACATTTTCAGGGCAAATGCAAAAAGTACGAGGCACTAGAGGAGGGAACCCAGGAATTGTGGGATTCGGGAAACAAAGCCTTAGGGAAAAGGGGTGAAGAGACCAGTGGGTCTGGCCTGGAGAGAATGAAGAGTGTGGTGATCACTGATGTTTCCAAATACCTGAAAGCCTGTGGTAGAGGACGTGGGGAAAGCAATGGCAACATTCTGATGCTGGTGGAGGCCCAACTAGGGCCAATGGATGGATGTCAGAATGGGGCAGATTTAGATTCAGCAACAACAGAAAGAACTACCAGTGATGACCAACAACGGACTGGACAGCCTCTGGAAGTAGTGAGCTCACTGTCACCAGAGGTATTCCAGCAGCAGTGAACTGATGTTGCAGAGGCCTTCTGGACCCAGTGTGGGGTAGGACGAGAAGGTCTTCCATAGGAGCTTCAGGAACCTAGCCACCTGACTACCTAGAACTTCCTGCTTGAGGTGAGAACTCCCTCCCCCGAGGCCTGCCCACTCAACCTCCTCCTGCAGCTGGGCTCTCACCGTGGGAATGAACTGAATTTCATAGGCATCCACAGTGCCAGGAGCCCGGGTCCACTCTGTCCGAACCGTCGTCTCCTCCAAGAGGTGCATCCTCATGCCCTCGATGGCTGGCACCTCTGCCCAGGAGAATGAGATACGGGAAGGTGGTTAGCCTAAGGCAGCCCCTCACCCCCTACCCCTATCA